TATAATAGAGAGAACAATAACATCCTAAGTACATATAATAAAGACGACAATAACATCATAAGTATATATAATAGAGTGGACAATAACATCATAAGTATATATAATAGAGTGGACAATAACATCATAAGTATATATAATAGAGAGGACAATAACATTATAAGCATATATAATAGTGGGAAACAATAACATCATAAGTATATATAATAGAGAGGACAGTAACATCATAAGTATATATAATAGAGTGGACAATAACATCATAAGTATATATAATAGAGAGGACAATAACATCCTAAGTACATATAATAAAGAGGACAGTAACATCCTAAGTACATATAATAAAGATGACAATAACATCATAAGTATATATAATAGAGTGGGCAATAACATCATAAGTATATATAATAGAGTGGACAATAACATCCTAAGTACATATAATAAAGACGACAATAACATCATAAGTATATATAATAAAGACGACAATAACATCATAAGTATATATAATAGAGTGGACAATAACATCTTAAGTATATATAATAGAGTGGACAATAATATCATAAGTATATATATATATAATAGAGAGGACAATAACATCATAAGTATATATAATAGAGTGGACAATAACATCAAAAGTATATATAATAGAGTGGATAATTACATCTTAAGTATATATAATAGAGTGGACAATTACATCTTAAGTACATATAATAAAGAGGACAATAACATCATAAGTATATATAATAGAGTGGACAATAACATCATAAGTATATATAATAGAGTGGACAATAACATCATAATTATATATAATAGAGTGGACAATAACATCATAATTATATATAATAGAGAGGACAATAACATCCTAAGTACATATAATAAAGAGGACAATAACATCCTAAGTACATATAATAAAGAGGACAATAACATCATAAGTATATATAATAGAGAGGACAATAACATCATAAGTATATATAATAGAGTGGACAATAACATCATAAGTATATATAATAGAGAGGACAATAACATCCTAAGTACATATAATAAAGAGGACAATAACATCCTAAGTACATATAATAAAGACGACAATAACATCATAAGTATATATAATAAAGACGACAATAACATCATAAGTATATATAATAGAGTGGACAATAACATCTTAAGTATATATAATAGAGTGGACAATAACATCATAAGTATATATATATATATATTAGAGAGGACAATAATATCATAAGTATATATAATAGAGTGGACAATAACATCATAAGTATATATAACAGAGTGGACAATAACATCAAAAGTATATATAATAGAGTGGACAATTACATCTTAAGTATATATAATAGAGTGGACAATAACATCATAAGTATATATAATAGAGAGTACAATAACTTCATAAGTATATATAATAGAGTGGACAATAACATCATAAGTATATATAATAAAGTGGACAATTACATCTTAAGTATATATAATAGAGTGGACAATAACATCTTAAGTATATATAATAGAGTGGACAATAACATCATTAGTATATATAATAGAGAGGACAATAACATCATAAGTATATATAATAGAGTGGACAATAACATCATAAGTATATATAATAGAATGGACAATTACATCTTAAGTATATATAATAGAGAGGACAATAACATCATGAGTATATATAATAGAGTGGACAATAACATCATAAGTATATATAATAGAGTGGACAATAATATCATAAGTATATATAATAGAGAGGACAATAACATCATAAGTATATATACTAGAGAGGACAATAACATCATAAGTATATATAATAGAGTGGACAATAACATCATAAGTATATATAATATAGTGGACAATAACATCATAAGTATATATAATAGAGTGGACAATAACATCATAAGTATATATAATAGAGAGGACAATAACATCATAAGTATATTTAATAGAGTGTACAATAACATCATAAGTATTTATAATAGAGTGGACAATAACATCATAAGTATATATAATAGAGAGGACAATAACATCCTAAGTACATATAATAAAGACGACAATAACATCATAAGTACATATGATAAAGATGACAATAACATCTTAAGTATATATAATAGAGTGGACAATAACTTCATAAGTATATATAATAGAGTGGACAATAACATCTTAAGTATATATAATAGAGTGGACAATAACATCATAAGTATATATAATAGAGTGGTCAATAATATCATAAGTATATATAATAGAGAGGACAATAACATCATAAGTCTTTATAATAGAGAGGAGAATAACATCATAAGTATATATAATAAAGACGACAATAACATCATAAGTATATATAATAAAGACGACAATAACATCATAAATATATATAATAGAGTGGACAATAACATCATAAGTATATATAATAGAGAGGACAATAACATCATAAGTATATATAATAGAGAGTACAATAACATCATAAGTATATATAATAAAGACGACAATAACATCATAAGTATATATAATAGAGTGGACAATAACATCATAAGTATATATAATAGAGTGGACAATAACATCATAAGTATATATAATAGAGAGGACAATAACATCATAAGTATATATAATAGAGAGGACAATAACATCATAAGTATATATAATAGAGTGGACAATAACATCTTAAGTATATATAATAGAGTGGACAATAACATCTTAAGTATATATAATAGAGATGACAATAACATCATAAGTGTATATAATAGAGTGGACAATAACATCTTAAGTATATATAATAGAGTGGACAATAACATCATAAGTATATATAATAGAGTGGACAATAACATCATAAGTATATATAATAGAGAGGACAATAATATCATAAGTATATATAATAAAGACGACAATAACATCATAAGTATATATAATAGAGTGGACAATAACATCATAAGTATATATAATAGAGTGGACAATAACATCATAAGTATATATAATAGAGAGGACAATAACATCATACGTATATATAATAGAGAGGACAATAACATCATAAGTATATATAATAGAGAGGACAATAACATCATAAGTATATATAATAAAGACGACAAAAATATCATAAGTATATATAATAAAGACGACAATAACATCATAAGTATATATAATAGAGAGGACAATAACCTCATAAGTATATATAATAAAGACGACAATAACATCATAAGTATATATAATAGAGTGGACAATAACATCATAAGTATATATAATAGAGTGGACAATAACATCATAAGTATATATAATAGAGAGTACAATAACATCATAAGTATATATAATAGAGAGGACAATAACATCATAAGTATATATAATAAAGACGACAATAACATCATAAGTATATATAATAAAGACGACAATAACATCATAATTATATATAATAGAGTGGACAATAACATCATAAGTATATATAATAGAGTGGACAATAACATCATAAGTATATATAATAGAGTGGACAATAACATCATAAGTATATATAATAGAGATGACAATAACATCATAAGTATATATAATAGAGAGGACAATAACATCCTAAGTATATATAATAGAGTGGACAATAACATCATAACTATATATAATAGAGTGGACAATAACATCATAAGTATATATAATAGAGAGGACAATAACATCCTAAGTACATATAATAAAGACGACAATAACATCATAAGTACATATGATAAAGATGACAATAACATCATAAGTATATATAATAGAGTGGACAATAACATCATAAGTATATATAATAGAGTGGACAATAACATCATAAGTATATATAATAGAGAGGACAATAACATCATAAGTATATATAATAGAGAGGACAGTAACATCATAAGTATATATAACAGAGAGGACAGTAACACCATAAGTATATAAAATAAAAAGGACAATGACATTATAAGTATATATAATAGAGAGGACCGTAACATCATAAGTATATATATAATAGAGTGGACAATAAATGGACTGATATCAAGGAGACTGAAGATGACGATTAACGTTGCGTTTAAATTTTTGAAAACTGTAGTTGAGGGGAGATCAGAAAACCATAATAATTCTCCACAAGAGATTAGTGCTTGTAAAGAAACTGACAGCATGGCCCTTATGCTTACAATTTCAGCAGTGAAATTATGAAATCTCTTACGACGCTTACATTCGTGAACTCGATGTTCCGACGAGGAAATTTCATAAGAAAAAGAACTATGGAAATATTTACAGAAGCTACAAAGTGAAGCTAGAATACGATGATTGGAATGCAACTGACGCCGAGATAACAGGTTAAGACCGATAACATTTTGGTTTCTTAGGATTTTGTCAAGAATCTCAAGATATAAAACAAAAAGACTAGACCGGTTGTGGCACGAATAATCGATGCATGGACGAATGGTACACTTATAGATATGTAAGATAGATTCTGTCGAGAAAGTGTGTCTAGGATAGTGTTGCACCGGCCTCTAACAAAAGGGAATTACACCGGTTCTCACTATATATAATGCCAGTAATTCCTACCCGGGGTAAGCCGCGACAGTACAACTGCTTAGCTGAGTAGTACCCGTTTCCTACCTTTGTATCTGTGATGTCAAATACACTTGTTCTTTAAACCAGGTTCGACTTGATTTTCTTATTTTTACTATTGTGCCACGACACAACAGATAGTGAACTGAATTTCCTCACAGCAGAATAAAAACAAATTGATTTAATATAATCATTCCACTTTATGTCAGTTGAAAACATGAAACCCAGAAGGCGCAGTGTGTTGATCTCTGAGAGAGGAAAACTGAAATGTCGGAAAATAAAAATAAAATCAGAAGTAAAAAAGGAAAAGGAATACGCAACGAGAGAAAATGAAGATTGAATGACGGGTAGCAGAGGGGGAAAAACATTCAAAAATGAGAAAGTATCCGAAAATCACAAGTAAAGAGAAATGAAATCGAAAATAATGACAAAAAAGAGAAACTGAAGCAAGGAATGAAAAAGAAAATAAGTGAGCAAGAAAGTCAATAGTATAACTGGAAAGAAAGAAAGAAAGAAAGAAGGAAGAAAGAAAGAAAGACCGAAACAAGGATAGAAAGAAAGAAAGAAAGAAAAGAAAGAAAGAAAGAAAGAAAGAAAGAATGAAAGAAAGAAAAGGAAAAGGAAAAGAAGGGATGGAAGGATAAAAGAAAAAAAGGAATGAAGGAATGAAGAAAAAAGAACGAAAGAAAGAATGGGACGAAGAAATAAAGAGTAGTAAAGAAGGAAAGAAGAAACAAAGGAGAAAAAAGAAAAAAAGAGGAAAGAAAAAAGAAAGTATCTGAAAAACACAAGAGAAATGAAATCGAAAAAAATGACAAAAAAGAGAAACTGAGGCAAAGAATGAAAAAGAAAATAGGTGAGCAAGAAAGTCAATACTATAACTGGAAAGAAAGAAAGAAAGAAAGAAAGAAAGAAAGAATAACGAAAGAAAGAAAGAAAGAAAGAAAGAAAGAAAGAAAAAAGAAAGACCGAAACGATGAAAGAAAGAAAGAAAGCAAGCAAGCAAGAAAGAAAGAAAGAAAGAAAGAAAGAAAGAAAGAAAGAAAGAAAAGGAAAAGGAAAAGAAGGGATGGAAGGATAAAAGAAAGAAAGGAATGAAGGAATGAACAAAAAAGAAAAAAGAATGAAAGAAGGAAGAAAGAAAGAAAGAAAGAAAGACCGAAACGATGAAAGAAAGAAAGAAAGAAAGAAAGAAAGAAAGAAAGAAAGAAGAGATGGAAGGAGAAAAAAAAGAAAAAAAGAAAGAAAGGAATAAAGGAATGAAGAAAAAAGAAAGAAAGAAGGGGACGAAGAAAGAAAGAAAAGTAAAGAAGGAAAGAAAAAACAAAGGAGAAAAAAGAAAAAAGAAGAAAGAAGGAAAGAAAAAGAAAAGAAAAAAAAGCAAAGAAGAAAAGAATGGCGAAAGAAAGGAAGGGAAGAATAAATCTGTGAAAAAAAGTACGTAAGGAATGAAGAAAGAAAGAAAGAAAGAAAGAAAGAAAGAAAGAAAGATAGATAGATAGATAGGTGTGAAGAGAAAGGAAAAGAAAATACAAGTTAAAAACCTTCAATCAATTGCAATTTTACTAAACGTATGTACTGTTGGTAATTGTTTTATATATAGAAATGTATTGCTGGCATTTTTACTATAGAAATGTATTTTTTATACTTTCATAGTGTTTTTTTTTTTTGTTTGGGGTTCACTATTTGCCCATAGCTAGAACCCCAACAGGTTCTACCACCCCAATCCAGAAATTAAGAGGTAGTGATACTATCCTGAAAACCATCAATCTCCCAATCACAGGCATTGCTGCTCGACGTAGTTTTTCATCATACCCAGGACTATAACAAAAAAAGAAAAATGAAGAACAAAGGAAATAAAATAAAAGAAAGATAAAAATATAAATGAAAGAGCCAAGATGCAACAAATCTACAAGAATAGAGAGTTATGGACATAATCAAAGGAAAGTAAAATGTAGAAGTAAAAGAAAGAAAGAAGGAAGGAAAGAAAGAAGGAAGAAAGACAGAAAGAAAGAAAGACCGAAACAAGGATAGAAAGAAAGAAAGAAAGAAAGAAAGAAAGAAAGAAAGAAAAGAAAGAAAGAAAGGATGAAAGAAAGAAAAGGAAAAGAAGGGATGGAAGGATAAAAGAAAGAAAGGAATGAAAGAATGAAGAAAAAAGAGCGAAACAAAGAAGGGGACGAAGAAATAAAGAGTAGTAAAGAAGGAAAGAAGAAACAAAGGAGAAAAAAGAAAAAAAAAGTGGAAAGAAAAAAGAAAGTATCTGAAAAACACAAGAGAAATGAAATCGAAAAAAATGACAAAAAAGAGAAACTGAGGCAAAGAATGAAAAAGAAAATAGGTGAGCAAGAAAGTCAATACTATAACTGGAAAGAAAGAAAGAAAGAAAGCAAGCAAGCAAGCAAGAAAGAAAGAAAAAAGAAAGACCGAAACGATGAAAGAAAGAAAGAAAGAAAGCAAGCAAGCAAGCAAGAAAGAAAGAAAGAAAGAAAGAAAGAAAATGGAAGGAAGAGAAAGAGAACAAATGTACACGGAACGAAAGAAGTAATCAATAGAGCAAGAACAAAAAAACTCTACGAAGCTAAAATGCGCTTGGAAAAGAAAAATAAAGAAAGGGTGAATGTAAAATAGAAGAACAAATGAAAACATGAAGAAAAAATAAAAAAAAAATAGAACGAGAACGACAAAAAATTACGAATGAACAGAACAAAAAAAAAGAAGAACCATAGAAGCAAACGCAAAGACATAAATAAAGAAACGATAAAAAAAAAAAGTTTAAAATATATTAAAGAAGAGGAAAAAAAAACTGAAACAGACGATAACGGAAGAAAAAGAATAAAATGGCAAAAGGCTCTTTGTTGTTGGTGGAGACGAGAAAAACCAGCAAGGGAAATACAGAAATGATTGGAACTCTTGTTAATACTGGCCAAATTTATGACTATAAATAGATTACGGTTTTTATAAATGGCTTTTTGAACCATGAATTTCGTGAATTATGGGCCCTCTGAATGAATGGGTTCGTTTGAACTGCTGCCTGACCAATCCATTACATATTGAAGCTCTGAGGATGTACACTTCAAGATCCATCAAGCATGGCGAACTTCTTACGTCAAGATGGACGGGAAACGGTAGTTGAACATGTTAATTCCAGTCTTCTCTTAACGTTGCCTCTGAAGGAGCACGCACTGACCGACTAACCGTCACGAAAACCTGAAATGTAGGCTTACGCGTCGGAAAACTGGACGCAGCCTTTCTTTACGTGTGAGTTATTGGTATCATGGATTTTACAAGTATGCGAATGTACGGACGATTTTTACAAGGTGCATTTTTTTTAAAGGGAAGCACAAATCTTCTTTCTTTTATGTGCTGTGCCCCTTCAGGGCATAGACGGTCATGGCCCTCCACACCCTTCTGTCCTTTGTAGCTCTTAATAAATTTTGTTTTTTTTTGTTATTTATCCTAAGCCCTGTTTCACCATACATTTGCTCAAGCCCATCAATTATGTTACACGCTGTTTTTCTCTGTTCCTCTTTCCCTTAATCTGGCTAATCCCTTTTTCCTCATTACGTGCTCCCAGAAAAACAGAATTGCCTTTTCCTGATGTTAAGTATGTTTTCCTGTTTGTTTCCATGCTCTCCAAAACTTAGGCGTTGCTCACATGTTCGGCTCGTGGTATCCTCAGCATCTTTCTGTAGAACCACATTTCTGTTGCTCCATGTTTCACCCCTGAGGAAACTGTCCAGCATTCACAGTTATATAGGACGATTCATATTACATAGCATTTCAGCACTATTTTCTTTGTTTCTATTTCCTACACTCATTTCAGCAACTGTTTCAGGTTTCCTGCTGTAAATTTTGTAGTATATGATGAACTTAATTTTTTTAATCATATACTACACTAAATCTAGTATATCCAATTCAATTATTCCCAAGGATTCTTCTCCCCCGGTTAGCGATTTGCAAAAAAAAAAAAAAAAACAACATAGTTTACAAATTCAAATGCCCTTTGGGAGATTGTATCTCCAACGAATTAAATACTATTTATGTTGGTCACACCACACACTCGTTTTCACGACGTTTGTCACTACATTTGAATGATAACTCTAACATTTTTAGGCATTTAAAACAACATACCTGGCCGCATACACAATTCCGTAAAATCCTCCTAGAAAACACAACTATACTTAAACATGAAAACAATAAACAAAAACTAAAAATTCTTGAAGCTATATACATAAAACAGTTGAAACCTAACCTGAACAAAATTAACTATGGAATCTCCACAAATATTCTTAAATGTCTATAATCGGTAACAGAAGCCATTGGTTTATACCAACGGCTTCTCATACTTAATACTTCTCGAATTCACTTTCGCGTGGTCATGTGTGACGTCATGAGCTGCGGTGCGATTGTCGCTCCCAGCGTCCTATATGCACGTGTTTATCGTTGCTTGGAAATCAGCCATGTAAACAGAAACAGACTAACATCACTTTCTTGTCCGTGTATTGCATAATATATTGTACAGTAATTGTCATCTTTGATAATGGCTTATGTAAGCCGAAAGCTTAGACTGGATTAAAAATTATGTATCAATATTGTGATTTTCTTTCTTCGTTTAATGATAATGTTATTAAGCATATCAGACGCTATAAAATGAACTTACATAAAATAAATAGACAACACTTATCTATATTATTTAATGAAACATGTATGAATGAAAAAAATGCTGCACCACAATGCACACACAATATATATATATATATATATATATATATATATATATATATATATAAGCAAATATATGGATATAGATCCGACAGTATGAAGAAAAATATATACGGAAAAAACAAACAAAAATACTTATATGCAATTATGCTGTTTTAATGTTAATATGTCAACGTCGGACGTTTTAGGAATACATTTTCACAGCGTCGCCCACGTGACGAAAAAACGTGACCATCTTTAAACGGGCGCTGATCTTATAAAACTTTCAGTTATCTGTTTGGATAAGTCTTGTTCTTATGTACATCGTCTTTGTCATGTTGAATTGATAATGTTAATTATATTTTATGAATATGTCCTGAAGATGGTCTATTAGACCGAAACGTCCGACGTTGACATATTAACATTAAAACAGCATAATTGCATATAAGGATTTTTGTTTGTTTTTTCCGTATATATATATATATATATATATATATATATATATATATATATATATTAGTTAAGTTATCTCTCTCTCTCTCTCTATATATATATATATATATATATATATATATATACTGTTTTGTTACGATCTTTATCTCTTCGGTGCTGATGTAGTCTTTTTGTTTCCTTACACATAGTGTTTGACTTTAATTCCGCTCCGATGATGACTTCTAGACGGAGATAAAATGCGTTGTTTAAGGTTTCTTTAGTTTGTCTCCTTATCCCCACTTTAGTTCAGATAATGTTCTATTTTCTACTAACTTCTAGCCTGTCGACTTTGCTTTGAAAAGTTACACTTTCGCTATTCCTATTCCTCTTTGGATTTCTAAGATCCACTTTCCGACACCTGCTACAGGCTTGATTTTGTCGTCCCTAATAACTAACTTAGAAACTGGATTGTATCATTTACTGTAACAATGAATTCTGCCTACTTCCAGTAAATAGTAGATATTACTTTCCGTAGAATGAGATATGGAAAAGTAATAAGATACAATAGTTCCATTCACCACAAGGAAAGTTGGATCTTTATGTAGCGCCAGAAGTTTTTTCTCGCCTGAGTCTATCATTCAAATCTACAAATCTACCATTTGTCCTTGCATTGAATACTGCTGCCATATATGGTCTGGTGACCTCGCTGCTCATCTCGAGGTGCTCGACAACATCCAAAATCCAATGTGAAAGGTCCTGATCTTGCATTTCGTTTACAGTCACTTTCCTGCTTGTGGCTTCCCTCTGACTTTTCTACAAATATTTTCATGGCGACTACTCTGACGAGATACTTTCACTGGTACCCAAACTGCATGAATGTAAGCGTGCTACTAGTTTAGCATATCGGTCCCACCCTTTCACTGTCGAAATGGTTAAGTTTAGCCGTCTCTACTACTCCAACAGCTTCTTATCTCGCACTTCCCGTCAGTGGAACTCCTTTCCTCTTACTTGATTCCCTGGTAGCTGTAATCTTCAAATATTCAAATGTAATGTCAATCAAGATCTTCTGCTGCCTTGTGCTTGATCCTCGTCTTACACTTTATCTTTCCTCAAGCGTCCCTCTTTACTCTTGCGCTGTAACTCCTTGCGTACTTGTGGCACTCCCGCTTTGTTTGGAGTGATATGCATAAAAAATATGACAGAAATAAAAAGTGAGTGAGAAAGAACGAGATCAATATGAACTGTGTGACAAAGAAATTGAACAGAATATAGATTTACTGACAGACGGAGGGAGACGACATGATAGAGATAAAAGTGTGTGGATGATAGGACCAATAATAAAAAAAAAGAATGTGTGTGACAGATACAAAAGCAACGACCTAGTTAGAGAGTTTGAGATAAATTGATTGAAAGAGAGAAAAAAATATGGCGGTTGTTCAATTTTTTACATCGCGTCTTTTCATAAGCAGTTTTCATTTTTTTTTTCATCTGTGTTATTTAAAAAAAAACGTCTTTTTCTTATCCCTTTCTTTATCACGCATTATCAAGGCATATATTCAAAAAGCGTAAGACTTGTAAATAGAAGCTCTTGTTACGTCAGTCTTTGAATGTGAAAGACCATTATTAGGAAAGTGTGTTCCATGCACATTGCGTACCCCACATATGTGGCCGTTGACCTTTATAAGTTCTGCTTAGAAAATACATTTTAAAATAATCGCTGTTGAACAAAGTATGGCAGTCTAATCTGCACGGTCATACTTGCCGAACGTGTGATACAGGTTTAGGGCGATCATGCATCTTTTGATACATGACTGACGAGGCAGGCACATAGGCTGCCATTACATTCTGCGGGGGAGTTGCGCGTAAATGAATAACGAACTTGGAGTTCGATCACGGCTCCCCGATCTCTCACCCCTAACCGATAACCATTGAAGTTCCTGGGATACATAATGAGGAAGGTGGTGAGGGCTGAATAATCTGATATTCACGGATCGAATAGAGGGAAAGAGAGACAAGGGAAAACAACGCGTGACAAACCTTGCGGACTTAAGCAAGTGGCCTGGAGGAGGAAGCGGAGGGAAGGAAGTTGTTGAGAGCTGCAAAGGATAGAGGAAGGTGGGGAGTGTTGTTCATAATGACGGTCGTCTTTGAGTATAGAATCCAGAGGTTAGCAGTGAATATTTCGAAGACAGTAGGGAAGCGAAGTTCAGGTTAGCAGTGGATATCCCGGTAAAGTAGCAGAGCGTAGTTCAGTAGATCTTCCTTCTGTTCTTTCGCCTGACAAGTTGGCACTGGACATTCGGAGAGAGTAAAAAAAAATGACCGCCTTTATACACGACGGATTGAATACTTTACGTCTTCTGATTGGTTAGCCTTCTATTGGTGGACTATAAAGTGAGTCAAGTCATTTGGGCTAGCTCACTAGTACCATATACAAAAAAGGACATGCCACATAAAAAGAAAAAGAATGTGCGCGGGACGTGCACTTATATTTCATATATTAGGCAAAAGAA